GTATATATATATAAAATTAATATGTATATACATATCCATGTAAATATTTATATAATTGTGTATCTCTCAGTATATATATTTACATAAATATATATATATAATATATATATAAATGTAAATATATATATATATTATAATTACACATACATATTTACTTATAGATATACAGACGTATATATATATATATGACATATTTGTGGTTGTTTTTATACACAGCTTTGATCCCAAAATAAACTACAAATAATCACGTAATTATACCTACATGTTGTATCCCTAAACCCTAAACCAAACCCTGCATATACATACATACATGCATACATACATACCTACCTACATACACCTTGAGTATCACATTCAACCCAGCACCTTGCATGTGAAAATAGGTGTTTCCAATCTGCTTTGGGGGGGAGGCGCTGCGCCCTCCCCCCCAATCCCCCCTCTCCCGTTTTTTTTTAAATTATTTAAATTCAAAACTTGCACACTTTTCAATTACTAGTTTGATTCTTTTATATTAATATTTATGTTTATATATATATATATATCTAGACACACATATATGTATGTATGTAATGTAATGTAATGTATGTAATGTAATGTATGTATGTATGTATATCTTTGCATTTATATATACACACATATATATATTTATGTACTTATATAAATGTATATATATATATAAATACATATGAATATGTATATACATATCAATGTGTATATATTTATATAATTATGTCTCTATCAGTATATATATATATGTTTATTTAGAAATACACATACATATTTACTTATAGACAGATAGACGTATATATATATATGACATATTTGTGGTTGTTTTTATACACAGCTTTGATCCCAAAATATACTACAAATAATCACGTAATTATACCTACATGTTGTATCCCTAAACCCTAAACCAAACCCTGCATATACATACATGCATACATACATACCTACCTACATAGATAGATAGATAGATAGATAGATAGATATATATATATACATATGTATATAGATTGATTGATTTGATTGAAGAAAACCATAGAAAACTTCCATCTCCAGACATGCTGTCGCGTCGCATGTATGAGCATCGCGTTATGGAGCAGCTTGCTTGCTGGGACTCGACCCTTTATTCGGTATCTGTTGGGATCTCAAGAGAGTTCTCCAGACGTGTGATCGCCTCGCATGTATGAGCATTGCGTTATGGAGCACCTTGCTGGGACTCTCCCTCTGAGTCGGTATCCCAAGAGTAGTTGTGATTTAATATGCGCTGGTATCTGTTGGGATCTCAAGAGAGTTCTCCAGACGTGTGATCGCCTCGCATGTATGAGCATTGCGTTATGGAGCACCTTAATGGGACTCTTCGTCTGAGTCGGTATCCCAAGAGTAGTTGTGATTTAATATGCATTGGTATCTGTTGTCTGCTGACAGTCGACCTTTTCTTCGACATCTGACCCTCCCTCCCCTGTCTCCAGACACGTACGAGTCACTTGTATTAGCATACCTCGGAATTTTCTTGTTTGATACGGACCACCTGGATATTGCGGACAGATCGGCAATCGACATCTGACCCTCCCTCCCCTGTCTCCAGACACGTACGAGTCTCACTTGTATTAGCATACCTCGGAATTTATTTTTTTTTGATGCAATTTTTTTTTTTTTGATGCGTGTACCACGTTGAAATCTTGGACAGTTCCATAGAAGTCCAGGGGAATATTTTTTTTTGATGCAAATCAATTTTTATTTTGATACCTATGGGGATATTTTTTTTTGATGCGTTTTTATTTTTTTTGATCCTTCACCCCTAATTATTTGGGAAACCTTGCATTTTAAAGCTTTAACACAAATATGGTTTTCTAAAGTAAAGGGACTAGCTTTACGCAAAGAAAGGTGGAGAAAGGGGTTTGTTTTTTTTCACTCCAAAAAGTTGGTGCTCACAATAGAGTACCATCCAGACAATTATATTATTCAGTAACTGAGCCACACATGAGGTACCCCCTTGAAAAATTGTCTGGATGCTGTTTTTTAATAAGGGTTTAATAAGGCATCTAATTATTTGGGAAACCTTGCATTTTAAAGCTTTAACACAAATATGGTTTTCTAAAGTAAAGGGACTAGCTTTACGCAAAGAAAGGTGGAGAAAGGGGTTTGTTTTTTTTCACTCCAAAAAGTTGGTGCTCACAATAGAGTACCATCCAGACAATATATTATTCAGTAACTGAGCCACTCATGAGGTACCCCCTTGAAAAATTGTCTGGATGCTGTTTTTTAATAAGGGTTTAATAAGGCATCTAATTATTTGGGAAACCTTGCATTTTAAAGCTTTAACACAAATATGGTTTTCTAAAGTAAAGGGACTAGCTTTACGCAAAGAAAGGTGAAGAAAGGGGTTTGTTTTTTTCACTCCAAAAAGTTGGTGCTCACAATAGAGTACCATCCAGACAATTATATTATTCAGTAACTGAGCCACTCATGAGGTACCCCCTTGAAAAATTGTCTGGATGCTGTTTTTTAATAAGGGTTTAATAAGGCATCTAATTATTTGGGAAACCTTGCATTTTAAAGCTTTAACACAAATATGGTTTTCTAAAGTAAAGGGACTCGCTTTACGCAAAGAAAGGTGGAGAAAGGGGTTTGTTTTTTTTCACTTCAAAAAGTTGGTGCTCACAATAGAGTACCATCCAGACAATTATATTATTCAGTAACTGAGCCACTCATGAGGTACCCCCTTGAAAAATTGTCTGGATGCTGTTTTTTAATAAGGGTTTAATAAGGCATCTAATTATTTGGGAAACCTTGCATTTTAAAGCTTTAACACAAATATGGTTTTCTAAAGTAAAGGGACTAGCTTTACGCAAAGAAAGGTGGAGAAAGGGGTTTGTTTTTTTCACTCCAAAAAGTTGGTGCTCACAATAGAGTACCATCCAGACAATTATATTATTCAGTAACTGAGCCACTCATACTGTAACCAAGGAACTACTACGGCATCGTATCGCAACAAAGCCCTGATTTTTGATTTCTGGATCCAAATATACAATGAATAGATTCTATTCTAAACTATACTATATAAACTACACTAAACTAAGGTTTCTTGGGGATGCTCATGAAACAGGAGGGAACCTATAAGGGAATGGATGGGAACGGTCCTAAAATTTGAAAATCAATGGCTCGGTGTATGTTTTTTTCATCCAAATACCCTCTGGTAATCCAATAAATATCTAACAATAGGTCTGAAAAATCAGCTTTCTATAGGCAAATCATCTATATATATATATATATATATATGTATAGGTGATTTTTAATACCTGCTGTTAGATATTTAATTTATTGGATATTTGATATAGGCAAATAGCTATATGAATGGGTTCTGTGGCCATGCTCAATAGCTATTTCAAATTCCCAAATGATCCAGCATGGGTTTTAGATGTCTTTTGTGGCATGGGCGAACGCTCAGTAAGAATCTCTTTGAAGCAACGCTGGAAACAGGTTTGTGAATTTCTTGGAGTACTCGCTGACTAAGCCCGCATTTTCGAGCTACATCCCCATGGGGTTAACTCGCTTTGATTATCCCAAATCATTTGCCATCAAGATGGATGTTCCAAGGACTCAAGGACACTAATTCCAGGCGCAAACCAATCAATCTTTGCATATTCTTCGAAAATACGGTGTTATATATATATATATTACTATATGTACGTATGTATGTCCATATGACAAACGGCTCACAATTGAATATCCCCAGCTGGGAGGTTCATAGATTACAGCCTTATTTTGCTAGTCTGGCTATACCCTTCAAACATTGGATCATCATTGCATATAGCGTGGTGCCCTTCATTCACCTTTTGTTGGGCATGTCTTCGCCAGCTGTCAGCTGAGGGTGTCTCTAGATTTTGCGCCAGCTCCTCCTTCTGCTCTTCTCCTTTTCTCTGTATGTCATCTGAGATTTGCCAGATCACATGTCAAAATATACATCAGAACACATGTCAGATATGGTGATCAATATAAAGGTCCTTGTAAAGAGTTTTAATTGCGAAGACCGTTCATGTTATGTTGGGAACCTTCGCCAAAGTTTTTTCCGAGTTCGCGAAAGTAACATGCTTATTCGCGAAAGCTTCTCGGAAATTGGATATTATGAATCATAGATATTGTTTGCAGTGTTTGCATTGCATATGATTACAACTTGTAAAGGGCTACCACCGGGTCTCCAACAGGAGAAGGGTACCGGAGAAATTCGGTATGGTTCTGGTTCAGTTCACTGTGTGGTTCTGCACTCCGCACATTTACCTTTCCCTTCATGATTCATAGGTGGCTGCCGAGCTTCCAAAGGTGAGGCATTGCCACAGCCTGAAGCACACCCTTGCTGGCACTGCCTAATATTGCTTTCTGAAGTCTACACAAAAACACTCCACATTCAGCAGCCGAGCTTCCAAAAGTGAGGCTTTGCCAGAGCCAAACACCAAAGCCCCTGGTGTTTGCTTTTCCTCTGATGTGCCCCTGCTGAAAGAATTTGCCAGAGCAAGCGTAAGAATAAGAATATGTGTCAGAATATGTTTGAAGATTTGCCAGAAGATATGTCAGCACCTTTGCCAGGACAAATGGCAATATACACGCAAGAGCATATGCCAGAGTTTTCACCAGATATCAGAATACATGATCAGAATGTTGCAAATGATATGTATATATATATACACTAATAACTATGTATTATGTATATAAACTATATAAATGTATAGTATTGTGCTAGTGTATAAGTATGTATATATATATATGTGTGTGTATATTTTATATAGATATATTAGATACATACATATTTAGATACAGACACACATATAGATACATATATAAATATATATATATAGATACATATATATATATATATATATAATTGTTTATATTGCATTTAAATGATATATTACATTATATGTCATACCCTAACTGGTTTATTGGGATTTGTTGGGCATTCGCCTCCCAGTTGCCCATAACCTCGCCCTCCAATCCCTCAGGTGGGCTACTACACCCAGGTGCTGGGCCTCGGCACTTGGCCCAGCGACGTGCGCTTCACGGGGCACCATGGCATCTTCGGGCCCAGCGAGGAGGACAACAACAACTTCAACACCTTTTGGAAGGCGGGGAATTGGTGTGGGAAATTGATGGAAAATGGTGGGAAATTGATGGAACATTGTTGGAAATTGGTGGAACAAACCAACACTTCCATTCAAAAAAAACTATCAACAACCATCAACAACTCAGGAAGTGAATGAAACTGAGCTGAATTTTGCAGAGAATTAATGAGCATGAGTGTAGAAAATCCAACAAGTAAACCTATCATTTGAGGACGGTTTATACCAACCATTTATGGTGATGACTTCCATGGAACATGTCATTTTTTCATGCTGAATTTCTCATGGGTATTCCCATGGTTTTCGGACAAGCATCCGAGGCGGCTGAGAACTTGGCGAACCAGCCCACTTCAGGACGCAGCATTTGGTCGGTGTCACAGGCAGCGCCCCTTCGACGTGTCCAGGTCAGTGGCCATTCGGCAGCCATAGACCAACAGTGGGCGTTTTAAAGGGGCTATAACATGTTCAAAAGCCACCAGGTTATGAAATGATATGATTTTCAGATATGACAATAATACCAGGGATTAGTGTTTGAATGTCTGTTTTTGGAGTCTCTATGTTTCTTTAAGTGCTTCGATGAATTTCATTGTTTTTTTTTGTGTTTTTTGACCATGAATTGCCAAGGGGTGTGGGGGTCATAGACGACCCTTTCAGGATGGGGGTGGCAGAACATGTCATGCTGGGCTCTGGGAAACATGAGCATCAACATGCAGTGACCGACATACAGTCCATCAGCCAGCCCAACATATTTTTCTGGATGGGTTTCATTGATTTTAAAATGAGATGAGCGATTAGGGATCTTCGGAATGTGTCATAATTGTTTATCAAAGTTTATAAATATATATATATATATATTTATAGGTATAATGTTTTATCATAGTCGACTTACATATGTTATATATATATATTATGTCACTTATATCACAGTCACTTATATAATGCTATATTTGATCAAAAAAGGGACCGGGGGGAACATCCCAAAAGGCTCACCTGATAACAACTGAGGTGACCTTCTGTTAGGCTCATACGACGGCCGCTGATCTGCAGCTACAGGTAGGCCAGTGCTATCTCTAATATACATATGTATATATATATATATATTTATGCGCGTGTAATACGTAGATGTTATAGAATATGATTGAAATATAATATATAATTAATGAATTTGATAAGGTACACGTATTATCATCATGTTCAACAAATAATGTTCGAAAACTATGTTTTGGGGCAGAAACGGGTGATTTTAGCGCATTTGGTTGTCATAATTGTCTGTATGTGTTTATTGATGATTCTTTTAGTACATACCAACATGAAATCCCCAAATATTAGAATGATCCACCATTTTCGTTGGTCAATTTATGAGTTTGTTCTGGTTATTCCTGCAACTATGCTACTACCTCCTTGGGAGATGCTGCGTTGCCTCCTTGCTTCACATGTTCGCCCAAGTTCCAGCGATTGTCCTACCTGAGGTCATGCACGCAAAAGTATGTATACATATATACTGTATGCGTTATTTGTAGTACACACGCATATAATATACATGTATATGTATATATATATATACATATGTATTATATATATATATATATGTATTTATATATATATATATATATTGATATAATATCCGCATATATATATATATATTGATTTATACGCACACATGTACATTGTGTGTATATCTACATGTATGTATATATATATATATATATATATTTATATACACATGCAAGTATATTCTCATAGCCCTAGCTGAACGTATACTGTTGGTATATTGATTGCAGCATCCTGCGTTTTGGATGGGGTAAATACCATGGTGTACCTCTCCCAGAGTATTGTAGAGGTGGGTGTTCTCTGTGGAGAGAGTCCGGACAATCTTACAAGGGTCAAACCTATCTTATGTCCTGGCGCTCGCGTAGTGTTTGTCAGTACAGCATTAGCATCTAACATGTGTCACAGATTCAACACACTATCACACTTGATATTCTAGTCAATGAACACCACCAAAACCTCTTACATCAGCCTTCCTCTGAGAAACACACTAACCCAGAAAATCTAAATCAATATATATATAATGTTATCTATTATTTATCCATCTACCTATAAAACATTTCTTGCTGTTTTTGTGCAACAGATTTGTGTAAAGTTATAAGGTCACACCCATCCATTCCTTCCTCCTGCGAGGCGCTGTCCCTTCCAAAGGCAGTGGCGGATTTATCGCCGACGTCCAGGTCGATGGGACTTTGGCGCCTTGGATGCTGACACGCGGCCGGTGAAACGTTCTGATTCTTATGCTTAATTTATGTTGAATTTATGGGGTTGTAAGTTATAAGTTACCAAAAAAAAGTTATAAGTGACGATAAATTGTATTAACCAAAAAACTACAACCCTTGGTGCATTCCATAATTTGGATTATAATAAGTGACTTATAACTTGTAACTTATAACTAACGCTAAAGGGACATAAGTGTAGTAATACTTTTGCCCAAAAAAACTGGCGATTTTGGATGGAGAGTTTGGAGGATTCCATCCAATTGACCTAGCTGTACTGATGACCTAAGCAGCTTTAAACAACGAAACAGGGTATCCCCAGGATCGAAGTTGGGGATTCCCCAGTGGGGATGCTTCAGATGATTCGTTGGGGATATCTATTACCGCCATTTTTTCAGTTTTGAGCATTTTCGAGCTGGTCATTGGGGTGAATTAGATTGATGGGACGGGATGGGACGGGATGGGACAGGATGGGACAGGATGAGAATAGAGCTCTTGAAACCGCAGCAAAAGGATATTCCCGGGCTGTCAGACTCATGATTACTTGATCCATTGTTTTTTTTTTGCAATTGTTTTTTTTTGTTGGTGTGTGTCATGGCAAAACGTTCATTTGCCATCGATTTCAGCATGGTCATATGGTCATATTTCTTCAATTGACTGGATCACCCGAGCGCCCAATCAATTGAAGCCTTACCCGATCGCAGCGATGTTGACATGGGCCTGGTATGTGCCTGGAAAGCATGGCTTGAACCACATCCATGTAGGACCCCTTTGATGTATTGACCACCTACCAAGCGGGCTGCACATCCATGAGAGGGTCAACCCATGGTCACCCCATCATTTGCTTTGTGGCATTGAGGATTTAGTGCGGCAGCAGCAGTGGCTGATCCGAAACTGCAAGGTGCGGATGTGGCTGGGGGCCCCTGATGGAAACAATGCCAAAGAGATGATGTTCCTCCCGGGAAGGAGGCCCTCTCTCAGGTGAACAAATATCTAAAGATCCTGGACTTTTCATGGATTTTCCCCTGCCAATGGCCAACTATTGTGATTTCTGCCTGGGTGCTTTCATGTATTTTCATGTTGACAAACAGCATTGATTTTGACTCCGCAGGTGAATGGCACGCGCTACTTCCAGTCAACACCTCGTGCCGTGAACTTTGTCTACCTGGGCACCACCGGATCTCCAAAATCATCTGGAAACTGCACAGATTCTGGCAGGAATCCAGTCTCACCCGAGCCTCAGGTGATACAAGAACCCACCACCCCCGTCCCATGGCATGCAAGGGCTGTGGCTGAAGGGAAAAACTCAATCATCCCAGTTGGTGAGTGATAGGTTTGGTTGCTCATTGAGATGCTAGGGCTGGTGGGTATGACTTCAAGCCCTTACACATAAATCTGCGAGATCAAAGAGTTGGTGAAAATTTCGCCTCCTAAATTGAACATCAAGCGGAACATCATCTTCAGACCCGATTTATTTTTGTTGGGGGTGCATGTTGAATTTAGGACGTGCTAGCCATGATTCTGCACCGCACACTGACTGGGATGGTTACCCAACGGCAACAATGCCATGGCCACTTGGGCCGATGGTTTTCAGCCTCGGTTCTTGAGCGAAATCATCCAACAAAGCAGCTCAGCATGTCATGGCTGTCAAGACAGTTGTATTGCACATGAGCCTCCAGTATAATTATTCACAAAGTTACAAAGTTAAACATTTACACTATACAGATACATATAGCATCATGTAGCTATATATAGCTAGACATAGTTATACATAGTTCATTTTCCACAGGATATCCTGCTGTCTTGAACCTTTGGGATAACTACCGAGACCAACCATCAGTTTCTATTGAACTTTGGAACGGGCTACATCTGTGAAGTTTCAAGCTGATCTCCCGGTTACAGCTGTGACGCGGAATCCACCCCGGAAATTGTGTTTGGGGATTATTTTGGCTTTAGAAGTGCTGTAGTTTACCCAGATCCCAGTGAACAGTTGAATAATTGGTTGTAGATAGCCATCAACACGAAGTGCCATGAGCTATGATTGGCTATGATGACCCTCGAGGTTCAAGTGGAGAAACCCTACATGAGCATCAACGCTGATGGCAAGTGCTCTGCTGACATCGCAGACAGGGGGGATTCACTGACTTACACTGTGTGTGATACCCCAAATGCAAAAGGAAACTCCAGCAAAAAGCTTTCGAGGCTCTTCTCAACTGGGAATATTGGTGTTTTTTTCAGTTTCTAGAAGTGATAAGTGGTTGTTAAGCCTAATAAGCATTGATAAGCATTGCTTTTTCCACCCCTTGTTCAGTTTTGGGGTCGATGTCCCTGATGTCCCTCAGCCATACTGTACCAGCAATCCCACTGTTTCAGCCCATGGTCTCAGCCATCATCGCTGAATCCAGCTTCGCCACTGTTTGAAAAAATTGGGGGACCATAATATGGTGGGTACTTCGTATTGAAAGGATGGGATTACATTGGCATCCTGGTTCCTTTTTTGGCGATTCTCAGTGCTAGCCAGTCACTTCAAAGAAACCTAGGGGTGAAACTGGTCGCATCAGCCTCTTGGTAAACACCAGCATGTGATCATATGGTACTCTAACATGAACATGCATGAACTGAACTGATTCCCCAGTTCATCAGAACCGCCCTGTTTGATAGATACATCATGATCTCATATTTTGTCTCATGGTTAACGCTCATGTTTTTTCGAGCTGTGCCATCCACATCATCCACCACATATGGGGTTGTCCAAAGTGAATTTCGCGGGTGATACGCCATCGTCAGACATACCCACAACCGGGTGTTTGATATAGATGATAGAACCATGTTGAGTTGAATCCCTGTTTTTTTTTGCATCGCTAAAATACCATATTTTTTGGATGGACAGTTCATGGCAAATCCCACCAGAAGCAGACGGATCTTTTACCGTCCCACAAAAGTGGGGTTCAGGGGGGTTGGTGGGGTGGGGTGGGGCATTGACATTTATGTACAAGTAATGTTCATGTACTCGTGCATGTTCATACATGACACATCCGGTATGTCACCAGGTACGGGGTGGGCGGGTGAGGTGAAAGCTGGGTTCCATCGAATATTGCGTCTAAACGCAAAGGCAAGGACATGTGCCTCCTTGGAAATACATCCAGTGGAGGTGGGAGAATGGCCAAGAAAACCTCTTGAAGAAGACATGCATGGCCTTGAGACAGATGATGGCATGACACGATGCGAAGCAAAACAGTCTTAGCCAGCGCACGGCGTTTTGGGAGCCAAAATGCTGGAAAGGTTCACGACCCCAAGGAAAACAACAAAAGCATATGATGCATTTTCTACAACCAAAAGCAACATTGCGCTCCGACAAGACGCAGATGTTATACAACTGTGGGAGGGTGAAAGATCCGGCGAGATATTTATGTATTTATTTCACACAAATCCGATTTTATATATTGTATATCTCACAGAGGTTTTTTCATTTGACACACACGCCACAGGCCAAATCCATTTATGATCCCATTCCAAGTGCCAGTGCCAGATCC